AAATAAAATACATACCCAGCCCTTTTCTGTGCACAGACTCCATAAAGTGTTCAAATAAAATACATACCCAGCCCTTTTCTGTGCACAGACTCCATAAAGTGTTCAAATAAAATACATACCCAACCCTTTTCTGTGCACAGACTCCATAAAGTGTTCAAATGACTTGAAAGGCATTCCATCTCCCCACAGTCCAAGCCTCTCCATAAATGCCTGAACAGTTACATAAATTACATCAAATAAGGAAGAAAAGAAAAAAATGACGAATCAAGTTTAAAAGTAGACACTGGGAATACAAAAGAGGTTGCAAACAAACTACTGTTTTCTGAATTTTTGGCAAAATCATGCTATTCTTTTAAGTTTACTTATTACAAAATTTGTTTAATCCATTAAAAAGAAACAAAATCCCATCCCTGAAAACAACTGTCTTATTACAACAAATCACACCTGAATTAATATAAAATGATATATAAAAAAGAGTCCTTCATTTTAATATATTTAGTTGTCAAGCATCATATAAGGTTCAATCAAATGGTTTTCAATCCTTACTAAGGTCAAAGAGACCATTCAAAATACACACCATGTTCTTAACATCAGTGACACCCGTGGCACTACAATACACTACACGAGCTTTTGGCAATAACCTACAATGTAGAGATAATACATGTAGTTAAATTACCCTCAATAACCTAGAATGCAGAGATAATCAGTCTGACAATTACACTAATTTTATAAGCAGTGAAATGTGAAACTTAATCAAAGAACATTGATTCACAGGATGTTTTAACAAAGAACTAACTATTTGGAAAATAATGCCCTAAAACAAGTAGATAATTGCAAATACATGTAGATCATGTATAATAAAAACTAAATTCTGTACAAATGAAGGAAACATTTTCTTTCAAAATTCATTTAGATGAATCAATCTGATTATACTTAAACTATTACAATTAAAATTTTCAATTTTCACTCTTAGATAAGAAAATAAATCTGTCAATTAATTCAACCCTGGCTACCTCTGCACTGTGACAACTGCCATGGCCACCTTGGTGCTGGCTTGCTCTTTGCCCTAAAATAGTGAAATCATCCAGGCATAAGATAGTATATGCAGTCTACTAGTATGTGGTACAAAAATTGAGACGGACATGTGTGTTATGTTCACAGCTTACAAAATCAGCCTTCATGAAAAATATTTTAAGTACCTTTCTCTAACTCAGAGATCTGCCTAGAAACATTTTTGTAAACTTACAGGGACAAAATTTTTTGCTTTGTGGCATTCATCAAATATGAGGCATCCATCAAAGTCCTCTCCCCCACACCAATCCACCAGCTGTTTAAGCCTGGATTGCTTTGAACTGCCACCTAGGAAGCAAAATAGTAAAAATAAACTCAATAAATATAAGTATACCAAGGTCAAGAAATGCTCCAAAATAGCACTTTTTGGAAAATCTCAATAATGTAATGGGAATGGCAGGATCAGTATCATATATTACATTCAACATCTAATAAATATTAAATAGATTTTTTTGAATGACAATAATTTTTGTGGTAAGACCCTGAAAGGATGTACACTAGCTCTATACCTTTCTGCACAGATGACACCAGTGTTGCGTAAGTACTGAAGATGACTCCTTCTTTAAACCCTGCTGGCAGACCAAGAACTCTGGAAATAAGAATTAAATACTAAAATAATACAATGATGTGATTTATACATTACAATTAGTCAAAATGTTATAAAAAGGTTTTAGCATCAATACAAAAATTGATTCCCCTTTTCTTGGAGAATTTTGTATCAAAACTTCACCCCTTTACCTTAAAGGCCAAGTTCACATCAGTACGGACTTAGACAAGAACATAGCAAATGGCTGGGAATAACTGGCCTTGTTGTAAACACGTCTTTGCTCTATTTCACCTACCTTGTTTCTCTGTCCAGTTGCTGACAGCCTTCAATGACCTTCACGTGGCAGCCTATGTCAGTCAGATCCCTACATAAATCAGTAAAATATATTATATTCAGTCAGATCCCTACATATATCAGTAAAATATATTATATTGATGGAGACAAGATGTACAGGGTGTTAAGGGCTGATGTTCTGAATCAGAATACTTAAGTTTTTTTCTCATAAATATATTTTTAACTGCAAAGATTGTAACAAAATTCAGTTTCAACAGTTGTGTATATAATAACACAACGAACAATATATTGTATTATTTAATAAATAAATAACAAATAAATAAAATATCAAAACCAATGTTTTCAAGGACCTTTCAATTATTAGCGACTTACATATAATTTTTTTAAATAATTTACTATGAGATACCTTCTAGCATCAACAATCAGATCAGTAGAGATACTGAACCAGATGTGTTTGTTTCGACCACGAGCAAAGTTGTCCAGGAGAATCCCAGCTATCTGGAGATGAAAGGTAAGATACCATAAATCTGCATTTGTTTCAATGCATGTTACCAGTTGATTTCATCACTCAGTTAATATGAATGCTTCATTATTTTACCACAAATTTTGAAATGCCTGAGAACATGAAATGCACTATAAGCAAATACTTGAAGAAACAAACACAATAGCTGTGCAATAATTTTTGTTTGTTTGTTTTAAATGCATATATTTTTAATTAAAATGTTTCTATTTATGCCAAGTTTTCAGTGCTTACAACAGTTATATGAAGGCAGTGTCATGTGAGAAATTAAATATAGAATTTTATCTTCAAATAAGTCCGTAACTTTATGCAATATTCTCTTTGTCATATTTACCTGTCTTCCTTTACCCACACCTGTCCCATCTCCCTTGATATCTACCTGTCTTCCTTTACCCACACCTGTTACATCTCCCATGATATCTACCTGTCTTCCTTTACCCACACCTGTCCCATCTCCTATGATATCTACCTGTCTTCCTTTACCCACACCTGTCACATCTCCCATGATATCTACCTGTCTTCCTTTACCCACACCTGTCCCATCTCCTATGATATCTACCTGTCTTCCTTTACCCACACCTGTCACATCTCCCATGATATCTACCTGTCTTCCTTTACCCACACC